CCAGTCCACAGACCTGACCCGGTCCACAGACCTGACCCGGTCCACAGACCTGACCCGGTCCACAGACCTGACCCAGTCCACAGACCTGACCCGGTCCACAGACCTGACCCGGTCCACAGACCTGACCCGGTCCACAGACCTGACCCAGTCCACAGACCTGACCCGGTCCACAGACCTGACCCGGTCCACAGACCTGACCCGGTCCACAGACCTGACCCAGTCCACAGACCTGACCCGGTCCACAGACCTGACCCGGTCCACAGACCTGACCCGGTCCACAGACCTGACCCAGTCCACAGACCTGACCCGGTCCACAGACCTGACCCGGTCCACAGACCTGACCCGGTCCACAGACCTGACCCAGTCCACAGACCTGACCCGGTCCACAGACCTGACCCGGTCCACAGACCTGACCCGGTCCACAGACCTGACCCGGTCCACAGACCTGACCCGGTCCACAGACCTGACCCGGTCCACAGACCTGACCCGGTCCACAGACCTGACCCGGCCCACAGACCTGACCCGGTTCTTACCGTCAGGGAAGCAGTTGTCAGGGTCCATGGCCTCCTCAGCCAGCTCTGAGAACTCGTCCTCTTCCTCGCCGGGCTTCCTCAGGTCCACGGTGCTGCCCTCTGATAGGCTGATGTCATCTTTCTGCTGCAGGAGACAACCAATCAGAAGGTCAGATCCAACACCTGAACAGGTAAACACCAGGAACAGAACCAGAACTCTGAGGACCGGTCCAAACAGAACCAAACTTTACTTAGTTTCCAATTAAAAAGTCCAAAAATTTTTATTATAAAAAAAAGTTTTATTTCAGTTTTCAGAATTAAAGTAGATTTAGTTCTGACTGAATAAATAAAAACACACACTGAGCTGTCCTCACATCTTCAGACTCTCATCAGATTCACGTCACAGAAACTGGTTCTGTTCACCTGGTACCGGATCAGAACCACACGTCTGAGTTCTGCACAGCTTTAAACAGAACCACAGAACTGAAACCGCTCAGCTTCCATCTTTATGTCCTCAGAAACATTAAGAGAAGTTTGTCCTGCCTGTGGGACCATCAGAACCGGTTCCCCTGCAGGTCCGGTTCCACAGAACCAGCAGGAGTTCTGGCTCCAGAAACAGAAACACAAACTTCAGAAGAGTTGATGTGTCGGCCAGGAAAACCACCGTCTGTTCCCAGTAACACACACACACACACACACACACACACACACACACACA